GAGAGAGAGAGAGAGAGAGAGAGAGAGAGAGAGAGAGAGAGAGAGAGCCGTGCCCAAATTTTTACATAGGTTCTGGGAATTTGAAATGATTCTGGAGAAATGCAGAAGTGGCAGAATGTGTGAAGTCACAGTGTCCTTAAGGGTATCGTGGAGTCCTGGTACAACTGTTAGTGTTTGTAATGCTACATTGCATTCCATTGTTCCCTGGACCGAATGCATTGGCCAGGGAGCTTATACATACCAAGCATCTTTTGGCTTTTTTTTCCTGAAGAAATACTTGAAGTAGACATATCTTTTCATGGCCAACGAGAGTAGAAAGTATTTTGTATATTCTTGTCTGTGTTTTATGTTCATTTTGCAGACTGAGCTGAAAGGCACAGCTTTCTCTGAACAGTCACAGGATTAGCTTCTGTGTGATTCACTAAGACTTTGGAGTTGTCCTTGCTTACTTTTTTGCTCAGGTACTATGCTTTCAGAGAAAGTACCCTTAGTCACTGAACAAAACTTTCTGGGGAACTGGAGAGATGGCAGTTAAGAACAGTAACTGCTCTTACCTTGTTTTTTCCTATGTTAATTTAGTTATGATTGAGATGTAAGATTCAAAGCAATGACTATAAAACGACCTTCTGTGATCACTTGGGATCCATCACTGTATAGTAGGTGCTTTACTGGTTAATTTTCTATAAAGCTTCACTAGCAAATTCAATGTACAGATGACAAAAACCACTCAGTCCAAAGACATGAAGTTTTGCCTTTTTAAAAGCTTGTAGCCGCTTCAGGGAGATGATACTGTCATGAGTTGCCAAGGATAAGATATACGGTTCCAATTCTGCTAAGTGAGAGTTGTTTATAAATCCCAGGACTGAAGAAAGTCCAGGAAGAATTCAGCTGTATTGTGTCTTTCACTGTCTGGTGGCCATCTGGAGATAAAAGCTTGTTTCCTAGGCAAATGATTCTGGAGAAATGCCATAGCCAAAGTGGGAGAATGTGTGAAGTGACAGTGTCCTTAAGGGTATCATGGAGTCCTGGTACAACTGTTGGTGTTTGTAATGCTACATTGCATTCCATTGTTCCCTGGACCGAATGCATTGGCCAGGGAGCTTATACATACCAAGCATCTTGACTTTTTTGCTTGAAGAAATATTTGAAGTAGACCGATAGTTTCATGGCCAACCGAGTAGAAAGTATTTTGTATGCTCTTGTCCTATAGTTTAGATCCATTTGTGAGACCCATTTGAAAGAGATATTTCTGTAAACAGAGCTACAGAATCAGCTTCTGTGTGACTCACCAAGACTCTGGAATTTCTTTTTACCTTTTCCCTTTTGAAATCCATTTCTGTCTTCAGTGCTGAAGAGCTGCCCATGATTGGGAAACATTCAAACATTAAAAATGGTGACCATCTTTCTTTAGAGAGGAGTCTTGATTTAAGTTTTCAGGTTGATTTATCTATTTACGTCTCTTGGGTCCTTAGCTGATTGATCACACAGGAATTTGTCATAATTGCCTACCTCTTTGACTCAAATGTGGACATAGCAACTAAAAATAAACATGTGGATATTAGCGAACCAGGGGCCTTCTTTGCCTGGGGAGTAGCATACTTGCTGTTGCTAAGATGTTTCCTGGCTTTAGCACAGCATCCATCATTGGAAGCACAGCTGTATTTTTGGAGTGGAGGGATGACAGAAGTGCATAGGCACACTGGGAATTATCCTGAACAATGGCTACAGATGCAAATCATTATGCCTAATCCACAACCTTATCCTTATTTGTGTGGATCTTTGTGTCACATGCTTGTATGTGACTTGCTGTGCTGAGAACTAAAAGCATGCCAAAGAATCATTATCATTTTCATTTTCAGAATAGTTTGTCAGAATTTGAAAGATAAGGAAATATACCAGGCAGACCATTTTTTTCACTGTGAGTGGCCAGTGGTTTTGACTTTAGAATAGCTAAATGTTAGAATAATTACTCTGACTGCATACCACTTTCTTATCAACAGGCAAACAGAGATTGAGTGTGAAAATTCATAAAAGAATTATATTGAGTAGGAAACTAACCCAGTAAGTTTACCCCAGGAATGGAAGTCATTAATGTAGGTCACTGGCAAGAACCAGCTTGCTTGGGTTCAAACTGCATCTTGCCCAGAGATGAATTGTGTAGTCCCAGGGGACATTCTATAGCTTCTTCACATCACTTTCTACAGCTGTAAAGGGAGTTGCTAATGCTAGTTTATCTTACAGAATTGCTGTGAAGATAAATGGGTCAGTATTTGCAGTCTCCTAACACTGCATCTGGTGTACTTAAGCATTTATAAGCTTTGCTTGCTATTGTTGCCTCTTGTTTTGATAAAATTTTACGTCCTTCCTCCCCCCACCCCAGAATCAAGTGGGAGTTAGTTCCAAACCTGAATTTGTTCTGTGATGATTCTAGCAGCATGGAAAAATGTTATGCTGGAATACCTTGGTTAAACATTACATTTCTTTCTTGTGACATTATTATAGAAGTCTCCATTGTGCCTGAACTAAAATTTAAACTATATTTAGTGCTCTAGAATTTTCCCTTAAATTGATTTATTTTTGGGCCATTGAGCTTCCCCGTTTTGCAGTTTTAAGATAAAGCCTCACAGAAGCTTTTCTACTTCTGCTTCTAAAGAACTGCCTCTGCCTCGCTTTGTGATGTCGAAGAGTGATGGTGAGATACGGTTTGGGAACCCAGCTGAGCTGCATGGAACGAAGGTTCAGATTCCATACTTAACCACAGAGAAAAATTCCTTCAAAAGAATGGACGATGAGGATAAACAGGTAACGGTGTCTGATTTGGCACATTCATTTGATTCTGACTGAGAGGCCTCTTGGAGCATAGCCTCTTGTCTGTTGCCAAACTCCCAGCAAATATTGCCATCTGTAACACAATTACAGAATTGAAAATGAGCCAGGGAAGTTTTCTTGTAGCAAGAAGAAGCTGACACATAGGAATTACTGCTAGCCACCCACTGGCCCTTTAGAATCTGCCTTAGTGTAGAATTGTGCCTCAAATAGTGCCATTGATTTAATACACTTACTTGATTTATCTAGGTCAGTGGTTTTCTAAATGGTGTCATTGACATGTAACTTCTAAAGCAACATGGAAACAAACAACAAAGCCAAAACCAAACAGAAGAAATGGAATGTCTAGGAGTTAGCAAGTATTCTCCTCCAAAAAGAAACCCTGAAATAGTCTATGATCAAACATGGTTGGAAAGTATGTCCTCATATCCCATTCTTATGGGAAAGACTAAATCAGCCTTGGAAATTTAGAATGTATATCACCAGGCAGGTTCTACTGTAAAGAGACCTGGAGATCTATGTTTACCAAACTCTTTTAAAAAAAAAGAATCAGGGAATCCTTTCTTGGGAAACATATATAGAACAGCATCTCTACAAATGTTATTACCTACTTACCAGGCTCAGAACCAGAATAGGGAGGGTGGGCTTTTAAAATCAGGCTAGTAATTGCAATCATCAGGTGGTAATTAATAAAGAAAAAAAGGATGCCATTATAGTGGGTCTATCAGGAAGAGACAAACAGTCATTATGATATAACTCATTCTTTTGATAAAGAGACGTGCAGAGAATCAGATTCTATTCAACAGTGTTTTCTCTAAGGTAAAGGAACATGCTATATTTTAGGAAGAATTGAACCAAGATGTTTTAAAAATGCAATGAATATTAGATGGTTATATTAGAAAATTAGCTTACATGGTTTACTTTGATGGTTTTGGATATTCAAGGTTGCAAGTTCCCTTTATTTTATTTCTTTTTTGACACAAAGGGTTTGTCCATATATCAGACTTATGTGGTCTTCCTGCCTTCTGAATGCTGTATTACAGGTGTGCTTCATCATGCCTGGCCAAAGTTTTATGTTTACAGTTAGAAGAGGTGTATCTCATTTTGTCAAACAACTCCGTGTAAGGTTGCTTTAATCATTTAAGTGGCATATTAGAAAGACACAGGAATTTGTAGTCTGTATACTTTCGTATGAGTCTATAAAGTAGTAGATTCCCCAGAAAAATTTTAGGTCTTATCTCAGATCATGTATTTATTTTTAAATTAAAGAATCTAATGTAGTCTCAGGGTTATAAAAAGCATCATATCTCTGTTCTTTGGGTACCTCATGCTTACAGTCTATTAGCAGTCCTTAAAAAAAATAAAAGGAGGAAGAAGAGGAAGAGGAGGAGGAAAAGGAGGAGGACAGGGAGGAGAATGAGGGTGAGGATGAAATCCAGTAAGCAGGCCCAGGCTGCTTATTTGGCCTAAAGTCTTGTATCATATTCATAGTTGAGATGGGATTCCAATTGTACTTGTGAAGGCTTTCATCTATCTTAGTATTTTGAAGCATTTTAGATTGGGTGACTATGTTTTAGAGTCTCTCAATGTGAAACAAACAACTTTTCAACATTTAATTTTGTCTAATAAGGTCTAAGAATACTCACCATTAAACATTAAACATTTAAAATATAAATTTTACTGCATTTTCTGGATTTATACTTGATGAATACAAATTCAGTAAATAGGAATCTTAGAAAGGAAGACTCATTAATTCATTAATTGAATGAAAATGGAATCTGTCCACAATTGAGGTTTATGAATGTTTTCTCATGTGATCAGTGTCTTTTATTTTCCAGAGGAAAATATTTTTGGGCTAACTGCAGGCGTTTCGGGCTGTATTAGTAATTTAGGTAGCACAGCACTGGCGAGCCTGTATCCTCTGGGTGTCTTTGGAATGAATACTTCCTTTTTGCTATGCTGCATTTTTGAGGAAACATTTCTCTTCATTTATTAAATCAGCCAGGTCACCAACCGTAGAGTCACATTTTGCTTCTTAAACTGCAGCTCAAAATGCCAGGTTTCTCCAGTGGTTGCCTCTGAACTCTGCTCTGGTTCTTTGAAGCAGGAAACACAGTCTCCCACGATGTCACCCCTCGCCTCCCCTCCTTCTTCCCCGCCTCATTACCAGAGGGTGTCCTTGAGCCATGGCTACAGCAAACTGCGGAGCGGCACAGAACAGATGCATCCAGGTAAGAGGCGGCCAGGGGGCCAGCTGTCACAAGCAATGTCTTAGAGTCTTCTTAATCTACCAGGCAGCAATGCCACCAGCTGCTTAATTTCCTGATTTAATTACTCTTGTCTTTGGAAACATGGCTCAATTTCATTTTATATTCTCAAGCAAAGTATTTTTTAAATGAAATTAAGCATATCTCAGTATTGCTTTGTTTCCTAGTCTGGAAGCTGGTTCGTCTTTAGACTTGTAAACAACTATTTAGATGATTTAATATTTTATATTCAAATAGCATTAAAGGAATGTAGCATGTATAAAGGGGTTGTATTTTTTATGAGAATTGTTATTTCCTTCTGCAAGGACACTAAACATATTTACTCAGTAACTGCTTTTATGAAAATTCTTTAAAAATATAACTGCAAAAAGCAAAAGAGTTGACCCCATCTTTAAGGAGTGGGGACATGAATGAAAATATTGAGCTTTTATGTTTTAGGATAAGGATAAAGGAATTGCTAGTGGTAGCGTTTTGCTGAGAAACATGAAGCATGCCTAGTTCTGGGGCTGTCTGCTGGCTCATATTGATGCTTTCTTGGTCAGTTCAGGGGTAAATGTGTGAGTTGGTCCTCAGGATGACTTGCAGAGCTGGCTGTCCAGACTGCAATGTGTGAAACTCCATAAATTTACTGCAGCACCTTGTTATTCTGTGGTTCACATCTCTAGTTTCAGATATAGTTTCTAGTTTCTAGTTCAGTGTATTCCAGAGTAGAATGTCCTATAGCCCCCTGCCCAGTTTGTGGGATATGGTGGAAATGACTCAGTTTCTGCAGGATTTTATTGCATTAGAAGAAAAGCAATGACTTCTAAAGGGTCAGAGAAATAAAACGATATTTTAGGCTGAACTAAAGAGAGGCTGTCCTTTTGCTGAGAGAAGCAGGTAGGATGTTATGAAAAAGCTTTGGGTTAGAACCAGAAGGTTGGGCTTGGGAGGCCCCTGAATGCCTTTAGGCAAACCATTGAGCTTCTATGAACCGTATATTTTCTTTTAAAAACAGTGATGAGGGTGTTAAGAAGATTCAGTGGAAATCTGAATGTAAACTTCTCTGGAAATTACATTCTGTGCAATGCAAGATGGTGTTCCTAATAGAGAGTTAAAAAATTCTCCTGAAAATTATCTATCTCATTGTTTTATGAAACTGCACAGGGTTGAGAATTCATTTTCCTCTTGTTCTTTCCCTTTTAAAAAAAGATGTACAACTGTTTCTTCTCTTTCAAATCTAATTTGGGCTTAGAAACTAATGTTTAGTCCACAGGTAAGTCCATCTGCGTTCTTTTAAGTCAGCCTATCATTAAGTTTTACCTTTGATAGTCCTTGTTTGTGTCCTCTATTTCCTGCTCCATCCTCTCATCCTATGCTAAGTGGGCTCCTGTCCCTGCAGCACTGAAGAGGCAGCCCGCTTCCCTCCTTTCTGGACTCTGAGGAGTTGATGCCAAGGCTCTGTATGACATCATTCATTTTTATACTTTCTTTGAAAGTGGTAAAATCTGTGTATGACAAAGTGCACATATTTGAAGTATTTAATTTAAATTTTAACAGATGTTCATGTAGGTACCACTGATATAAAACCATACCATTGCACTGCACATGCCTGTTTCCAACCACACCCTACCCTGAAATGCAATACTGTTGTGACTTTTGTCAATTTTGATTACTTTTACTTCTTTTAGAACTTCATGCAAAAGGAAACATGCAGACTGATTCTACTAGTGTCTGCTGTCTTCTCAATGTAACAGTCAAAATTCCTACCATTGTATTGATAGTTCCTTTCATTTTATTATTCAGGATGTTTCATTGCAAGGATAATCATGGATTAATGATCCTTCTCCTGTTGATGAACTTTTGGGCAATCTGTAGTGTTTGGCTATTATGAATAAGGATACCATAAATATTTGTTCATGAGTCTTTTTATGACTTACATTGTCATTTCCTTGACACTTAGGAGTAGAATCTTTGGGTAGGGGTGTGAAAACAGCCACAGTTCCACTTTGAAGTGGAACTTCAGTGTAATGACATCTTCAGGGTTCTACAAAAGAGTCCTCTCCTTAGAGAAAGATGATGTGTCTACTTCTATATGAAACCTCTTGTAAAGGAATTGAAGAGTTACTTGGTTTGCTTTTGACTTGCATATTTTGGGTTTCATTTGATAAGGAGGAGAGTTGAGGCACTGAATAATATGTACCCTTTTCATGAGTTTAGGTTCAGTTGAGGAGCGAGCCAGAAAGCAGATTGCTGCTGGCCTGACTGTCAGCTTTGATGCTCATGTAGCTACATGGGGAACATTCCTTAGATATATGGTTGATTTAGATACCCACTTTTTCAGCCACAGGCAGCCTTGGCCAACCTAGCCTTTTCCCATAGTAGAAGAAAAACCTGTCTTTCTAAAGTGAGCTCCTGTCTAGCTGAGTTTTCACTGAAGGCAGACTGGTAAAATACAGCTGTCTCTCCATGTTATGATCCCTATAGGTAAGGGATTTGAGCTGAGGTTCACATGGTACCCTCTTCCCCTCTGGGTCTCCTTTGGGGTAGATGAACCCTCTCTGTTATGGGAAGTACAGGTCCATGGGTTTCATTAGAATTTATGAGCACTAGGTTCCTAGCTATGCTTTGGCTTACTGTGCTTGAAACCTTTTGGTAAGGTGCAGTTCATATGAAGAGTTTATTGCGGTTCCATCAACATGGAAAAAAATATCTTAATTGTCAGAGGAAAATTCTTGCCTACTAGTTGAAATTTGCTTTGAAGATAGACTATGTATTATCTATGAAATTGTCTTTTGTAGTTCTACATTTATGTGTACTTCTAGTAGGTTCTGAAATGCACTAAATGTGTTACCAAGCAGTCACTTAGATATTTTAATCTGTTATAATTTGGTGTTTTAGTTGCTAGGAAGAAATGCAAAATGCAGTTGTGAGCCTGGAGGGTTTGTTGTGTTCTTTGTTTCTTTCTTCCTTTCTTCTGTCTGTCTGTCTGTCTGCCTGCCTGCCTGCCTGCCTGCCTGCCTCCCCTCTCTTTCTTTCCTTTCTTCCTTTCTTCGATCCAGTCCTGTTCCTTTCCTTTTCTCTACTTTCTTTTTTGAGGCAGGGTCTCATGAGTACCAGTCCAGCCTGCTAAGCTTACAGGTGTACAACAGTCCAGCCTTTTTGGTGTTCTTGATGTGTTATTGTTGTACATTCTTTATTTTAAAACCATCAAACCATGCTAAATGTGGTACCATAACAGCCACCTCTGCTCACCACCCAATTTTATTTATAAGTAAGTTACAGAAAGAAGCAGTTTATATATTTATATATTTTAAGTCCTCAAAGTGTTAGCCCACAGAGATGAGAAATGGCTTCATTTTGGGTGATAATTTCTCCTTTCTGTTGGAGCTGGTTATATTTAACTGTCTTGTTACCATATTTGGCAAGGCCATTATTATGTGTTCTGGAAATAAAAGGAGTATAGAATATCATTCATTTTTGAGGCTTAGAAACTTCTTTTAAAGGTAGTGACATCATTTAAAATATTTTAGTTATTTTTAGTAGAATAATAAATATATAATACATTTATTCATTTTTGTATACTTGGTTTTACATTCTGTACAATAAGAAAGATAACCATTTATTTTTATAGTATATTATAATGTTAAGTTTTAATGTTCAAAGTTCATATTAATTTTCTTTAGGGGTTATATGATGAATTGAATAATTTAAATAGGGAGGTATTTATACATTATAACTAGATTTGGGTATTTATAATTTTAAAAGAATTACAAGGCTTATTTTTATTTAAAAAAATCAAACCTTTATTTTTATGTTATGCTTGCAAGTGTTTTGCCTGCATGTAAGTTTGTACACCAAGTCCTTGTGGTGCTGGTGGCAGCCAGAAGAAGGTGTTGGGTCCCCTGGGACTGGAGTTATAGTTGTGAACTACCATATGGGTGCTGGGAATTGAACCTGAGTCCTCTGAAAAAGAAATCAGTGCTCTTAAGCCACTAAGTCATCTCTCTAGCCCTCAGAAAACTTAACTAAAAAATTCATTGTAAAATAAAAATTTGATAAAAGATAAAAATATCTCTCTGGGTTCCCTGAGGGACAAGCCTGACTGCATAGGGGTTGATGTCAAATGTATCCCCTCTCCAGGAAAAAGACATCGGGACGGGTATGGCCCTCATGCCTCACTGGACAACGACAGGGGGACTGGAGCCATTACAAGGTCCCCTTCAAATACTGGAGGTCAGGCCTCTTTCCCTGCCTTAGCAAGTTTAGAATTGTCACAGCCCTTCTATACTTAGAGAAGGGAGGAGATGTCAGGGGCAGCCCTGCTTACACACTGTAGGCCTAAAATCAGCCATAGGCCTAAAATCAGCAATAGGCCTGTCATATATGTATACTAACACCAAGTCTTGGGTCTCAGTGGAAAAACATTGAAACAGATGGCTATAAGCTAATGTCAACAGGCAGCTTTTGTGGAAATTTATAAGCCTGAGTAGTCATAGACCTTGTAAATAGGTAGCCTAGGCAGACGATACCAACTTAGATAAGGTCAAGCAAGTCATAGGCAGAGTCATAGTGACTTGTCCCCTGAACCTTCACCCAGCCGATACCTGGTTCTGAAGATATCTGTATTCCCCCTGAACACCCACACTTCAGTGTCATTCCCTTCCCCACATCCTGCCTTTCTGTGTTTATAACCCCTGTGTGAATGAACTATGATTTGAAAAAAAAATTATAAAAAAAAAAAGAAAAAAAATTGAGGAAACTCCTTTTCCCACTGAAAGTATTTATAAATATGGACTACAGAGAAAGTTCTTCATCTAAAATGATACCTTTTGGGGTTGGCGAATTAACTCACTGATTAAGAGTACTGACTGATCTTTCAGAGGACCTGGGTTCAGTTCCTAGCTCCCACACTGAAGCTTGCAGCTCTCCATAACTCCAGGTCTGGGGAATCCAGTGCCCTTTTCTGGTCTCCATGGGCTTCAAGCACACACATGTTGTACAGGCACATATGCAGGTAAAACATCAAAACACTCAAAATAAAATGATACTTTTTACTATGTATAGATGATGTGTATAAGCATTAAGCCCACATCAAATAGGCAGTGCATTCCAGGCTCAGAATCAGTTTCCTTTCCAAAAAAATTATAGTATAGTTCCCATGCTTTATTGGGAGGGATTAAATGTACAATTCAATTAGGGGAAAATACTATTTTGGATTCCACAGTTTTCTACTTGATGTACAGTTGAGTTTTATTCGTTCCTAATTCATTTTTTTAAACTCAAGGCTATTGTTTCCTTTTACTTTTCTCTCCCCAAATGAATGTAAACTTTGTTTGAATATAGCATTACATCGGTAAAAGGAGCAACCAGTGTCTGAATTCATTGGCTTTTAAGTGATAAGGGATCCAATGGAGGTAGTGCATGGCATGCTTCAGTTTTGATCCCACTAGAAGAAAAGAAGGAGGAAGTCAAAATAGCCCATCAGCCATCCAGGCAAAGTACAGCCTGTCCTTAGATAGATACAGTTTATAAGGCTGGAGGTGCTGAGTATTCAAACCAGGCCTTTGTTTAATTCTCACCTACAGCCAAGTATTCATTTTAAGCTAAAATCACATCCTTCAAAACCATGAATGAACACAAAAGTGAGCTCCACTACTTCAGGTCATGGTCCAAGATTACTGCCCCCCTAACAAACCCAGCACTAAACAGTAACTACTTGCAATATGGCACGTTTCTACTATTGACTTACTCTGCGGTTCTCACTGCATCACCCTCTTGCCTTATTCCTAACCTTAACCTGATGTGAATCCTTTTGGTCTTATTATGGTATTGCTTAAACATCTTTAGATAGCTTAGTGAAATTATGGGGGTAAGAGGATCAAGATTTGTAAGTCTTAGGTAGCTTTCCGATTGTATGTCCCTGTTCCTTTATTACCTTTTTCTTGAAAAGCACATGCTACATCACCTTGAATGTGAAATGATAATTTTGAAATAGAATCTTTGTATACCCTGCTAACATTCTCTCTTGTTTTTCAGCTCCATATGAAAGTAGGCAGCCCGTTGGCCAGCCTGAGGGACCCTCCTCAGAGGGTCCAGGAGCCAAGCCTTTTCGACGTCAGGCATCTCTTATTCGGGTAAGTGATGATGTGGGCCTACATCAATGACAGAATTGGGAGAACATTTATACTGTGGAGATATGGCATTTAGAGATGGAGATATGGCTCAGTAACTACAGGCATTTGCTGCTCTTACAGAGGATCAATCTTCAGGTCCAAGTTCCCACATAGACAACATACAACTATTTGTAACTCCAACTCCAGGGAGTCTAACACCCTCTTCTGGCTTCCATGGATAGCAGCATGCATGTTCACATACCCATATACACCATATATGCATACAGTTACTTAAAAATAAAAATAACTGTTATAAAGAAAACCATGAAAGAAATATGGCATTTAAAATTAATTATTTTATAGTTAGCACATGAAGTAAGGGGCTTCATTTTGATATTTTTTTTCTATTGGGTAGAGTGAGGCTGCTTATGTATCTGAGGCTGATTCTTTTGCTTCTACCTCCCAAGAGCTGAGATTGCAGGCATGGTCACCATGCTTAGCTTCACTGTAACATTTCATACATGTATATCATACTTTGTATCCCACCATGACCCTTTCCTGTCCCCTGCATCCTTCCTTACGGATTTTCTTCCTTCCACATACTCTATCCTTCTGCCTTCCTGTCAAATATAGTTCATTGTCTTCTATTGAGGAGCATGGCTTTTTGATTATTCTCTATTTTGTTTCAAGAAAGGTATAAAAGTACCCCTTCATTCAAAGATTACATTTTTTGCTTGTATATTTTCTCATTTGTTTTTATCCCTTTCAGTCCCTAGAATAAACTAGAGGTTGTCTCTTGATCTTCAGTGTTTCTAAAGCATCCCTACCCCTTTATTTACTTAATCATGGGGCACCTTCTTCAGTAGAGCTTCACATTTCCTGTAGCAGCTTGTCTCGTGTTTGCCTTATTCTTTATTACTACTTGTATAATGCCTAATTAACTGTTTTCCATTTGCTGTGTGTCTCCAATTATGTGGTAAGCATTTGAAAGGCTGCAGTAGTTCTGTATTCTCTCTGTGCCTCAGACAATGCCATTAGAATAGCAATTTATGTGTAAGTATAAGCAAGTACTACTTCCTGTATGTAATATATAAAATATTATGGCACAAATATAATGTTATTAAGTTTCTTCTGATCACATCATAGCTTAGATACTTTCAGCTTCTAATTCTCTAGTGTTTTCCTTCTGTTCCCCCACCCATTCACAGCCGTTGTCTTGTGTAATATGTCTAAGTCCTTTTGTGGAGAAGATACATTATTATTAAAGAAAGATGTGTGTGTGTGTGTGTGTGTGTGTGTGTGAGAGAGAGAGAGAGAGAGAGAGAGAGAGAGAGAGAGAGAGAATGAATGAATGTACATGGGGAGAAACTATATCAAAAAGCAAAAAGGTAGGTTTACTATTTAACATGAAAGACAAAAGGAAGTGGGTGGTGGTTTGTATAACCTTTCAGTTGTGGAACTCAGGAAGAAGGACCATTTTTGCACAGGCAGTTCTACTCAAAATAGAAGAGTGAAGTCAAACACTCCCACAAAGAAGTGGGCTGCTTGTTTGGAAGAGAATAAACAGTCTGCAGAAGATTCTTGAGTTCAGTGAATGGCTTCTGGTCATAGGACACCGTTAAACATGACACAGCACTCGATCTTAAAGCAATGCTCTATTTGCAAAGAACTCTCTAAAAGATAGCAATTAAGCCATATGTGATATATTTAATGTTTCTTATAATTATAAGCTCTAGGCACTGTTGTCTCTATTAGTATAGATGGATGGTTGAGAGAAGTCAAGAGGCGAGTCTGAGACTTCATTCATATCTAGTATATGGCAGAGCCGGCATTTGAGTCTAGCAGAGTTCAGTATTAAAGCCTGTACTTTAAACACTTAGCTCAATATTAAAGTTCCATATTACATGAAGACTAGATTACATCTTGAACAAACATCAGGTATTATAATATCACCTCTCTGTGGTGTGTGTGTGTGTGTGAGAGAGAGAGAGAGAGTGTGTGTGTGTGTTGCTGGAGTTGGACCCCATGACCTTGCCCATGCCAGGTGAAAACTCTACTTCTGCACTACATCCTCATCCCAAAAGTATTCTTGGTAGTCTGTTATTTGAGAGAATACCTGTCAGGAGTGTCAGGAGTTCAAGGTCATCCTTGAGCACATAGGCAGTTCAGAGTCAACTTCTAAAATTCAAGACACTAACTTAAAAAAAAAGAAGAAGAAGAAATAAAGAAAAGAAAAGAAAGAAAAGAAAAAGAAAGAAAAGAAAACAAAGACATTCTCCTTTAAGGCCAATACAGATGAGTTTCACCCTCAAGTCATAATGGAAGATTGTTTCTTCAGCTGAGCCCCAGATGTAGTACTTGGCTATGTTTTAGAGATCCCATGGTATAAAAATATGTGCCTTTAAACATTAGACCCGTACAGATTGGGGAGGCATGTTTACATTAGGGAAGGCATTGGAGGGATTCCTCTCAAAACTTTAAGGTGTGGCCTGCAGGTTCCTGCAGAGCATGTTCTGTTTCTATACAGAGGAAATCTTGAGTGGGTAGAACACAGATCAAATTTAGGAGTGGATCTTCAGCTTCACAGGGGTAGGATGGGGCCCACTGGACCCTTCCTGCCAAGTTCCCTGGAAGCAAGGCCATGATCCCTTATTTGGATTGGTATCCTGTGATCTGTCTTCTAATCTCTAGGTTTCCTTTCTGCTGAGAAATATGCTTCTTGAACCCTTCACTTGACAAATATTTAGTGAATACCTATAAAGTACCAGACACTATATTAAATGATGTATGCCATCAATAGGCCCCACCCTTGTGGAACTTTCAGGCTATTGTAGGACACAATTATTAATCAAGCCATCACAAAGACAACATGGTTATAGTATATGATGTGAATAAAAATTACGCTGCACTTTGAAGGCAAAAATGGTAGTAGAATATAACCTAGACATACAGACAGAGGTTAGTCAATGAAGACTTTTTTTTGGGGGAGTAACAGAGTTCAGGTGGGAAGGATAGCAGAGATATTAGCCGTATAAGGTGGTAAGGATGGGGAACAGATAAGAAAGCAGACAGAGCTAAATGTACAAAGACATTTTCTATGTACTTAGAATTTTGTGCACATAAATTCAGTGCTCACAGCTGCCTTCTAGGATAACACTTTAACTTCCATTTTAGATGACAAAGTCTAAGGTGTATATGTTTTATTGAGTTTTTCAAAGATCACAGCTGGGAAGTGGAAGGACTAGAGTTCAAGCACTGGACACCATTCCTCAGATACTGGCTCAGGAACTGGATGGAAGATGGTAATGTCATCTGTTATGCCAGGAAGCACTGAAAGAAACAGTGGTTCTGGGAAAAAATCCTAGCTGTAAGTTCAGCATTGGATTCCAGGAATGGAGCTTTTGAGACAGCCCAAAGGAGGTGAACAAGACTTTTATGTTTCTATGGATCTGAATTTTGGGGAGAGCCGAGGCTGGATATAGGTGTTTGGCAACAATTGGCTATTGAAAACACAGGAAAAAGAAAACAAAATAAAACAAAACAGGTTCTGCCCAGGTACAGCCTGACTCCACATGACCTGGAGTTCTTCCCGTTTTTTGTTGCAGTAACATCATGGTATGGATTTAGCAATATATCCCAGCAATATGCCAGTCTGACTCTCTCAATGTTTGCTTGTTCTCCTACCACCTGTTGAAACATGGCCTTCTGTTCAGGATGACAGCAAGGGACCTTTCTTGTCCAGGATGGCAGTCTGTGGTTTTTGTGGTGGGTGTATTTTCCTTTCTTCAGCTCTTAGGTTTCCTTCTTGTGCTTGCCAGTCTGGTTTGGCTGGACTCCATGTTACAGAAAGCAAAATGCCAATTTGAATTAGTCATGGAGATGAGATTTGAAGTGAAGGTTCTTAGTGGTAGGGGATTAATATTTATTGGGTATAGTGTTAAGCTAGTTGGAGTGACTAATTCCCCTCATGGTGCCATGTCCCTGTGCTGATGACAATCTATTCTCTTTGTTCTAGCTTTATTTGTGACCTTCTGTTCAAACCTTTCCTGCAAACAGTGGGGTATTGAAGCTATAGTTCACTGGTAAAGTGCCAGATTAGCATAGCAAAACCCATGTCTTTCATTCCACAGCACTTCCTAAGCTGGGAGCCATAGTACACAGCAGGAAGACCAGGAGGTCAGGGATATCCCAGCCCCAGGCAGCTCCCAGCACAGCCTGACTATATCATGAGATGCTAGTTTCAAATCACTGCCAACACCATAAAAAAGTTAGGAGGGGACGCGGCCTCAGGATTCTAGTGCAGGCCTTTAGAGACCCATGGCCAGTGCTATTATAGCCCATAGACTTGGCATTTTGGAGGTCTTTATGCCAAATTAATGTTCTATACTTTGGAATTGTTAGTCTTTTTCCTTAATATTTTAGTCACCTTTTTGTTCAAAGAATATATTTTTTTTCCTCATTAAAGTTTCAGACAGTGTTTTGGTGAATAGTTGATGAGAGTTTTTAAGCAAGTCTTCTCTTCTGATTTACCTGTTATCAGATCTTTAGAGGTCACTTGTAGTTTGCATTTCTCATAAGCCATTCTGGACATTTTGCATGTAGATTATGATTCAGTCTGCATAACATTTAGAGCTACACTTTCTGTTCCCACTTGGCTCTGTGTTTTACTAGGATTGTTGAAAATTACATCGGATAAAGTCTTGATTCTATGGATACCTTTGCTGTAATATCTTTGCAGTCTTCTTACTGCCCACCCTTAATGCACTGATTCTTTAAATCACTCGCCTTGTTACTGTTGCTTAGCTAGTAGAATGTGGTGTTGATGTGTTGCCATCTGCCAGTCTTAGATGGCTCACTGTGACTTTCAGCTGATGGGTCTTTCTCACAGAAGCAGCTCCAAGCCTCACTCTCCTTGTTCCACCACCCATTACCATGAACCAGAATGATGGTCATTGTCTTCGACTCCTCCTTCATCCCTCATGTTCATTCAGTTATCAAGTCCTGAACATTCTATGTTCGAG